TTTAATTTCACATTGGAAGTTATACAAAAATTACTTTATTGTATACTCGATTTTGCCTATGACGTCTTTTTTCTGTTGTTATTATTAAGGGCTTAAGCTCATTAATTTTTCTGATATTTTCAACATTTATATTGGCCAGCTCTCCTAAGGCTTCGAGGTGGAAGACAGATTTGATAACCATCAAGTCTGATACCAAATTGTATTCTTAAGCTGAGGTTTTGTTTAATTTTAGAAGTTTTTTGACCTTGTTTTCACAACCCTGTCATATTGGTAGGAAGACTTAAAGGAACTCAGCTTGTCCGGAGTCCATAGTATGCATGATAATCTTCAGAGAAGGGGACGTGTTGTACATTCTCGGACGTTTCGCTAGCATCATCAGTCTTGACAAACTTCAACTTGTCAAAGAGACAAATGAAACCACTCTTTTGATCAACTTTCTGCCGAGACGGTTATGCTATCACTTCTCTTTCTGTCCTGGCCCCCCTATCCATTTGCAGATTTTGGTGTGACATCATCACACCTACTGTTTGCCTCGCCCCCCCTCTTTTTAAGTGACAGATCCGACTTGTGCCTCCTGTCCGAATCTGCGTCATGGGCCCATAGGTCCGTTTTTTATCTTTCCGGTTGACCGATTTCACTCGGCTCCAGCCTCAGTGACATTTTTACTCCATGTGCTATTTCTCAAGCCCTCAGTAACACGTACAATGTCGCTTAATCGGCAGAGCATCTAGACTCTGTGGACATGTATTTCTGGTTGCCTGCTACATTTCAAGTAGATTATGAGTCAATTTGGTCACAATGACCTATTTCTATTTCCCAATCCGTAGTCTTGGTCACGCTTTATTGCCGAAACTCTCACTCTCTTGTCTTGTTGCATCCCTGTTTTATCCGAGTTTAATTAGGCAATCGGCAGTTATCACTATCGAAATTAATAGCTTAGGAAATACATTAAATGTGAGGAACAGGGGTAGAAAGTTGAGTAGGAATTACTTATGCTTGATTGATAGATTGAGAGAGAGAGAGTGTGTGTGTTTCGCCGCAATTTATCTGCTCAGTGATGGTTCTAATTTCACTCACATTCGGCCAAAATGTTAGATTTAGCTCATCAACCAAACCACATTACGCAACCCCAGTCTTGCCTTTCCTTGGAGGGTTAAAACACGTTACTGACCCTTGTTGGAAAGGTTAGGAAAAATGGTTTCGTAACCTGATTGTCATGCATAAAAACTCATATTTCATTATCTCAACTATACTTATTTACGGACCTAGGCAGTCTCAGTCAAGATTTTTTCTTGGATCAGAACAGGAAATTTAACCTTAGACAAGTCTGATTTATGAAACGTATTGCATATAGACACTAACACACACAAATTATACATACTCATACAATCGAGCAAAAATAACAGGACCAAAATAAAAGAAAATTAACCAAACCACTTTATACCAATCTATCTAGGTTTTTAATTTTCAATTTTTTGGCTCGATTGAGTCTATAAAAAGTAGTAAGATAGAGCCGGATAGTGTTCTTGCTTTAGCGTTAATGTAAGACTTTTACAAGAATCACCCCCAGCTCTGATGATATCCATCGAATAATGGACGAAAGCTCAGCACATTTTCACCCGAAACGATCTGATCTTTCAGTATCCATTTTCCTGCAGAGCTTTTGCTGTTTCTTGATCCATATGCCGATTTTCTCCCAGTTTCCCCAATGTATTTCTGTTCGCAGGTGCCGCATGCTATGCAGTAAACTTTTGAGCAATCCTATTTATCTATCCTCATGTTACATGGATAGACTAGTAAAGAGTGTTGTTGTTTTTTCCTTCGCGGTCACTTAAATATTTCATTTACATAATATTGGCTGTAATTTTTGAGCTAGTTCACCGACAAGGAGTCTTACCCCACCTTTATCGTTCCTTCATCATCCCCATCCTGCCGTTGACTCTTCACAACGAGTATGTTTCTATGTATTACTCATCTCGGGTACATCCAAGTCAGTTGTTACATTTTTTCATTCCAGTTAATCATAGGCTTCAGATGCTCATTCTCCTTAGCATGCCTATCTTAGTTCTGTAATTGTAATGAGAACCTAACTTCTTTCGAAACAATTTAATCGTGTGTCTCGGTAGAGCGAATAACCTACACATCCTGGAATGCTAAACGTCCCTTTTCTTCTACATTCATTGTGAGCTTGATTCGTTCATCAATTCGGTTTATAAAACTTCAGGAAATTCTCACATTTTTCTCTTTCATACGACTATATTGCAAAGTTATTATTTAAGATGCTACCGTTGAGTGTGAAGTTGGTAGTTTTTATTGCCAAGCTAATTAGTCGTCTTAAAGACTCCCTTATGAAACTCAGTTTCTATGATATCTTCTTATCGATCTAAAATTTCTATCTGGGCTGTTAGCACCTCTTCTCCACAATTTTTTGTGCACATAGTTTGTACATCAAAACTTTCCAATGTCATGTTTTAGATCCTGCGATAAAATTGACATGAGTGCTTTACTGTGCCTGATAGTTTGTCATTTACCTTCTTGATTTTCACATATTAACTTTCCTAATTTGTGTGTGGTTCTCTACCTGTTGTTCGTTTTCAGCTTTAGTGGTTCTCATTTGTATAATTTTGGAGTTTTCGAAAATCCTCAGGAATCAGAATCCTGGCCAGATCACGCCAGGACTTAATTTCTTTAAACTTATTCCTCTTCACAACGAAAGATGACTGCTATCAAAATAGAGACCAAAAATTGGTCTTTGTACATATTTAAGTTCATATGAATGAAGTCCAGATTTAGGAATGATCTAGGTGTGGTTCTCACATAAGGATTTTCATAAACCCCTGAGTATTTTATTAGTAAGAGACATAATAAGGAATAACTTAGATATGGGATGATACGACAACACAGGATAAAGCCAACTCTGATAAATTTCCATGGTTCTGTAGTGAATGCATCAACTGCTACAAACGGAAGAAAGCTAAATTTTTGCTCAGATTACAATAGAAACTTAGAAGTTGTTCTTGTCGAAATTGTGAAGATATCGGAAAAATATTCAGAAACGAGAGACGGAAATGGAAATAATCCAAAGAATGATGATAAATCAATGACCAATACACCGAAGCGGGTTAACTTTTATCTCAATATACTATTGTTTGCTATGCTCTGGGAGCTATTAACATGTGCATTTTACCCTAAATTTTCTCATTATTCTTTGAGAATTTGTCTAGTCACAGTCTCTGGTTGATTTTGCTCATTTACTGTGTCTATGCTTATTGTTTCGAGTCACTATAGTTCGTTTTTACCACGCTGAACTTTTAATGATTCCGAGTTTTTTCATAATTTCATTGAGATAAATTATTATTATTATTATTATCTTTTTTATTGTAATTTAGTGCGATAAGAATGATTTTGAATTATGTAAAAACTACACTTGAAGATAATGTCGAGTTGATGCTGTTTTCCGGGATAGTAATGATAATAAATAATTTTGTGGCATATTTTTGTGGGTACGTGCAACTTTTTTGTCTTGGTTTGCTTACAATTTCTCTCTAATCAACTCATGATTTCACCATTTAAGTGAATACATCAACTGTTACAAACGGAAGAAAGTTAAATTTTTTCTTACATTACGATGGAAACTTAGAAGTTATTATTGTGGAGGTTGTAAGGATATTGTAAAAATATCCAGAAACGAGAGACGGAAATGGAAATAATCCCAAGAATGATGATACATCAATGACCAATACACTGAAGCGGGTTGACTTTTATCTAAATATATTATTGTTTGCTATGCTCTGGGACCTATTAACATGTGCATTTTACCCTAAATTTTCTCATTATTCTTTGAGAATTTGTCTAGTCACAGTCTCTGGTTGATTTTGCTCATTTAATGTGTCTATGCTTCATTGTTCCGAGTCACTATAGTTCGTGTTTACCGCGCTGAATTTTTAATGATTCCGAGTTTTTTCATAATTTCATTGAGATAAATTATTATTATTATTATCTTTTTTATTGTAGTTTAGTGCGATAAGAATGATTTGAAATTATATCAAAACTACACTTGAAGATGTTTAGTTGATGCTGTTTTCTGGTATAGTAATGATAATAAATAATTTTATGACATTATATATTTTCGGTACATGCGACTTTTTTGTGTTGGTTTGCCTACAATTTCTTTCTGATCAACTCATGATTTCACCATTTAAGTTTGGACCTTGGTTGTATCCTTTTCGAAATGGTGTTTCATTTATTAACAATATTTTTGCATCTTGCATATTTTTCCCATTGCATCTAACTCAGAAGTTCGACTCAGACTCCTACATTGCTACTTTGATTGCAGCCATCAGTTCGGGTTCCAGCGGTATCTCTGCATCTGCCTCTGAGCTTGATCAAACCAGTCTTCCAATCAACCAGCCACCTGGTCTGCTTCCAACCGAGATCCGCCGGTTGGTGGAGTCAAGGCGTGAAGTGAAAAAGCTGATAGCATCGGCTACAGCTGCCAATTCTGTCCAAACCGAGGCTGATCTCACTCAGATGGCCCAATGGAACATTCGTCAGGCCGCGCTTAAACTGACTGCAAACAGTGTCTACGGCTGTTTGGGCTTTTCCGCCTCGCGATTCTACGCATTGGGCCTCGCAGCCCTAGTTACCGGCCTCGGACGATCGCTGTTGATACACACTAAAGAGCTTGTCGAAGCCATGAATCTTGAGGTCATTTTTCACATGTTTCTTAGCTTCTTGTTGGTGTCCTTTTAAAGTGGGATATGGGGCTTTGCACCAAAATATTGTACACTTTTGTGGCCTAAGCACATTTGCCGTTTGGGGAAATATTTAGATTCTGGTATACTTCTTAATTAGGGCTCAGTTTCTTCATTTACTAGCATTTTTCATGAGCCACTTTCATAACCGCCACAATCTATAACAATGACGCTTGCTTTGCAACTTTCACTTATCACTCAATTATGTCATAATTACTATTATGGTATATTATTTTATCCTCACAATCTTCAACAATTAGGTAATCACTGTAGCCTAATTATCTCAGCTTCGTCATAGCTTGGAAGCGAACCAATTAATCAAATTGTTTCTGTTTGATGACTAGAACTAGCAAATTTCCCTTTGTCTTTATCAGAACAAGCCTAGACTGTCGTCTGAGATAGGCCGACATCAGGTGCAATAATACCGCTAAATTAGTTTTGAAGTGCTTTTTGATTTTTTAAAATTTGTATTGTGGTAATGAATTATATTAAATATTTAATCACTTTCTAAATCTGGCCATTATAATTCTTTCGCAATAGAAATTTGGCATACTTCGCTTTTGCATACCTGATCGCGATCATTTATTCTAAGCCTTCTTCAATGACAATGATGACTGAACAACTAATTCTTCTAATATTTTATGTATATATGCTCAGAATTAAGAATTTAATCTTAGGTCTCCATGCTGCTAATTGATTAATAATTGTTGAGCTC